CAGAGACAGAGAGACAGAGAGAGACAGAGACAGAGAGACAGAGAGAGACAGAGACAGAGACAGAGACAGAGAGAGAGACAGAGAGAGAGAGACAGAGACAGAGAGAGAGAGTGAGTTACCCGCTGACTGGGAGGTTTTTGAATGTCTTGAATTTGTGGATTTATACTTGAGATCAAATTTGTGAAAATTGAAGCCAATATTTATTTAATTATATATATATTTAGTTCTCCCTCTGTCTTCTCTGCCTCTCCAGCTTTGTATATCTTATGTTTCCCGATATCATCTCATAGGGCCTTGAATATCTGTGCATCTTTCTCTAGCTGTTTTTCCTCTATAGTCTTCATTTAGAATAGGAGTCATTGTTACATCTTCAAGTTTATCGATCATTCTACAATGCCCAATCTGCTGTTAAGTTCATTCAGTAAAATATGCATTTGAGTTCATGTATTTTCTTCTCTAGAAGCTACATTTCCTTCTTATTTAATCTTATATTTCTTCTCTTATTATGGTAATGCTTTCCTTTACAACCTTGAGTATATGGAACATATTCGTAAGAACCTTTTATACAGCTTTGTCTGCTAAGTCCATCTCCTTTGTCATGTCTGTGCACAATTTGATCAAACTATTCTTCTCTTATTAAGCGTCACAAGTATTTCTTTACATGTCTAGTAATTTTTCACTGAGTGATGGACATTGTCAATTTTGTGAGGCTGACTAATTGGTTTCGTTGTATTTCTCTAAAGAACATTGGTCCTTTTTCTTGAAGGCAGTTAAGTTACTTACGTGTTGGGCCATTGTTTTTAAGGCTCTTTAATTTTTAACCTCTCTCCTAAGATAGGTTTGGTGTTGCCTTTACTCTAGGGCTAATTTTCTCTCACTTCAATGCCATGGCCTTTTTGGAGATTTGACTGAATGTCCTATCTATTTGAAAAGGTATCTTCACTTTAGCTGGAGGTACTAGGCACTGGAAAATTTTCCATCTAATAGCTCTATTTGTTCTCTCCTTAGAAATTGTTCTTGTGGCCTCATGGGGTTTCACCCTGTGTATGTGCCGACTGGTATTTTGCGCACAAGTCAAGGGACCTTTGATGAAGACTTTGCGAGCTGCTTCTGCGATTCTCTTTCCTGTCTAAAACTCTGACGTGCATAATTTAGCCATGTCAGTCTCCTCAACGTCCAATGTCTGGCGCTTCAACGCGATGCAATTTCCGTCCTTTTATTGTGTGTGTGTGCCATTGCAAACTACCTCCTAGCAGAAAACCTGAGTGATTTTAAGTCTCAGCTCACGGTTTTCCTTTTCTTAAGGATCACGGTTATTCCCTGTCTGTGTTCCATGTATAAAAATATAGGTTTCCTGTATTTTGTTCAGTGTTTTAGTTGTTTACAGGAGAATAATAATTCTGGACCCTGTTAATCTCTCCTGCTCAGAAATAGAATTCCCCAGCAGACTTTTAAAAACTTCTTTATCAAGGTATAACTTCACATGACACAAAATTAATTCATCGTAAGTGACTTTTCAGTCCATTTTTACAGTTGTGCAACCACCGCCACACATTTAGATTAGCCTAGAAAGGACACTTGAGCCCATTTGCAGTAAATGCCCCCTCTCTTCGGAGCTTAAAAAAAATCATTGGTCAGTTTTCAATTTCTAATGATTTGTTTTTGTGAATATTTCATATACATACATGAAATCATACAATATAAGGTCTCTTGTGTCTGTTATTTTTCACTAACCGTGAGGTTTTTGAGGTTTGTCCATATTGGAGCACATGTCAGTAATTTTTAAATTAATACATTTGATCGTACAAATTAAAAATAATTTTATTCTCAATATGATTCCATTGTATGGATATATGCCACGTTTTGGTTATGCATTCACCAGTTGATACGTATTTCGATCATTTCCAGTTGTGGCTTTAAGAATCATTAAAATTTTGTTTAATTAAAAAAAAAGATAATTAAAAACTAAAAAAACTAAATAATTTATAATAATAAAAAATAATCTCAATCGGAAACATTGAAAATGTTCAAAATGTCTACTGTACTATATTGTTTCAAATAAATATCCAGTTTTTAAATTTTCCCTCAAAAAAAAAATGAAGAAGGAGGAGGCTTCTGGTTCCACTTCCGAGATGCTCACTCCATGGACTCACTCTGCAGTCAAACAAGCATCACTGATGAAAACTCCTTTTTTAAAACCAACCATTTAAGTTCTCTGGAAATTGCCCTAAGGGCCAAGCATCAAATGATGAGATAGATAACTTAAGAAAATTTGTTAAAACTCAGGAGGAATGATGAGAGCCTGTGTCATTGGAAGTGCCATCCGCACCCGCCCATCCTTATTCCAGGTCAGCGTGATGGAAACTCCACTCCAGGTGGGTGGTGCCAAGAACCCAAGGCTCCCTCCTCCAAGTCCCATGTCGAGGGCTATGGCATCTTCCCATGACGGGCCGGCTACCGGCATTTCTCATCCCTGCCAGCTCTGCATTGAAGAAGCTAAACTCCAGGCGGATGCAGCTGAGAAGTTGGGGGCTCTCTTCTTCAGGCTGCCCCTCGGTCCATGGGGCAGAGGTTCTCGCTCACACATGGCATGCTGAGAGAGATACTGGGAGTGATGTGGGTTTTCGACAGAAATGCTCCATGTCTTCACTGGGGTTTCAGTTAGACGAATATGTGCCAGTCTCACCAAGAGACGTCTCTGAGTTCCCAGGGGCGTCTGTCTTAGTCTATTCTTGTTGGCGTAATGAAGTGCTAGAGACTGGGTGGCTTGTAGACAGCAGAAACGTGTCACTCAGAGTTCCGAAGCTGAGAAGTCCAGGATCAAGGTGTCTGAGAAGGGCCCACTGCCGGGTCCACAGGCAGCATCTTCTCGCTGTGCCTACACGTGGCGGAAGGGGTGGTGGCCCTCTCTCTGGGGTCTCTTTTGTAAGGGCACTCATCCCATTCATGAAGGCTCCACCTCATGACCTAATCATCTCCAAAGGCCCCACTAACAAATATCATCACATGGGGGTAGGGCTTCAACATAGGAATGTGGGGTGGGGCCCAACCTTCATTCCGCAGCAGAGGCTGAAGCTGGAGTTGCTCAGTAATCCTCAGTCATTGGCGTTGCTCTGGGCAAAGGTGTATCTGGTCACTTTGTGGCTTAGACAGTGTTCCTGTTTGTGTCTGTGCTGAGACATGACTGGAGTGGTCTCATTCTGCCATGGTCACAGTGGCCTTGTCTGGTGTGACGTTCCTGTGATATTGTTTACGTTCAGTAGGAGAACACCAGGGCCTGGCTGTGAGTGTCAGCAGGGGCTGATTTACTCCTCCGTAAAAGCGAAATCTAAAAAATAATGAAGTAAAAATACAGGAGGCTGGAGAAGTCAGCAGGGATCAGAACGCAGACAGCCTCAGGCTGTATCATGAAGAGGTTGGTATCTGCTTTTGGAAAAGGAATACTTCACACTGGATGTCAACACACATGCCAGCGAGTAGCAGTTATAACCCATCATAAAGTACTGAACTTACAAAATTTTTCACTCGTTGGAAATGAGAACGAATCCAGGTTATGTCACTGTAATATTTCGCCCACCTCCTTGCCTCGTAATATGCTCTCTTGACTGGAAGAGAAAAAGCTGAAGACTCAGCTAGGAGCTCCTGCAGCATTCCATGACCCCAACGTAGACAGAGCAAGGGTGTGACCTGAATAACCCCACCTGTCATAGACCGTGTCTCCCCGCAAAAGCATATGCTGAAACCTAACCCTCAATGTTTTGGTCTTCGGAGGTGGGGCTTTTGGGAGGTGATGAGTTCATGAGGGTGGAGTCCTCATGAATGGGGTTAGGGCGCGTCCACTACTACGTGAGAACACGTGAGAGAAGACAGTATCTAAGAAGCAGGCAGTGGGCTCTCACAGACGAGGAGTCCGCTGGTGCTTTGGTCTTGGACTTCCAGCCTCCAGGACTGTGATAGATGAATGTCTGCCATTTCAGTCCCCCAGTCTATGGCGGCATTCTGCAATAGCAGTCAGATGGGACTCAGCCACCACAGGAACGTGTTTTCTTCTGTGGGCATCACAGGATGAGTGTGTCTGGGTGGAAGTCATCTCGGAAAGATGCTCTGACAGTGAGGAGATATTGACGTATTTCAAATTGGGGGGAGTGTGGGTTTGCAGGACATCGTGGGGGTGGTTGTGGTGACAGGGTTTGTGCTTATATGCTCCCTCTGGCCAAGACTCGGTTCTATTGAGGTGCAGTAAGAAGGGCACGGTTAATTTGTAGGTGCAGTGAGAACGGATGCAGCCTCTTCAGAAGAGCAGCATTTGCAAACGTGTCTAGAACCTAGGAAACAGTCCCTGTAGAAGGAGTCCCAGGGCTTCGCGGGGACCAGTTGATGCTGGAGGTATGGAGGTGGCATCCTGATCTGCAGCATGGAAAGTTATGGGAAGGAACCGGGAGAGGAAGATGCACCTTCATGGAGATCATGTGGGTTACGGTGTCCCCAACTTGACCAAGATGGCAGCTCCGGGTGACGTGGGAGACAGACGGTCATGCTTCAGCAAGGAAACAGTGGCTGAGCCCTTCCGATGCTGCTGAGAGGTGGCATCACGTAAACTGAGGACAGGAACTGCCTGTGAGTTTTGGTCGTACGAGTCTTTGGCGATCTTGACAGGCATAGTTTGAGAATGGAGGCGAGATTGGAGGAGGCTGGGAAGACGGACAATCGATAAAGACTGATCCTTGACGAACTTCTATAAAGAGGAGAGAGAGCCCTCAGGTTTTCGAGGAACGGGGGGATGGGGGCTGACTGTCTGAGCACCACCTCCAGAGGAAGAGCTGCCTCTGGAAGGGGGAAGGGCCCTTCTACAGGTGGGGTCGCTGACCCCACCTCTTCCTACCTCTCCCTGACAATGTGGTTCCGGACGTAGAGCTGCCAAGCTGTCCTTCCTTGGTCCCCGAGGGCCCCTCAGCCCCATACCTGAAAGATGAGCTCTGAGATTCAAAGGGAGACCCAACCCTGAGGGTAGCCCACACACTGAGGTGGGGTTCTGAGGACTCCGGGTCGGGCTGGAGGAATCAGGGAGCCACGGACCAGCATCTTTCTCCCTCTTCCGGCTGAAGTGGCAGCATCGAATGGTGGCGTGGAGAACCCAGGGAAGGACTGAGAGGTTCCTGCCTCAGGTGGTCCCACAAACGCACAGAAACGCTCAAAGGCTGAGGAGGGGCTGGGAGGCTCCGCTCTCAGCTCCTTCAGGGCAGGCCTCCCTCCGCCCCCCGACAGAACCAGGTACCCTGCTCTCCCTCTCGCCCTCTCTAGGAGAAGGGAATCTCCCCCCAGAAAGCCCGGGTTGGGCTTTGAGGTCCTGGGGGTCAGAGAGAAGAGGGAGCTGGATGCTGTGAACTGACTTATGTCTCGCTGCCGAAGACTTCATACGCCGAAGTCCTCACCCCCCAGGACCTAGGAATGTGGCTGTACTCGGAGGTGGGCCTTTAAGGAGATGACTCCGTTAAAATGAGGTCACAGGTTGAGCCCAAACGTAACAGGACCAGCGTCCTCATAAGAAGAAATCAGGGCCCAGACTCACACAGCGGGAGGACCGTATGAAGACACAGAGAGCAGCCGGCCGCCACCAAGCGGGAGAGAGAGGCCTCGGGGGGAACCAGCCCTGCCCACACCTCCGTCTCGGTCTTCCGCCCCCTAGAGCTGTGAGGGTATAAATTTCTGTGGTTTAAGCTGCGCGGTCTGTCATTTTATGACAACAGCCAGAGCAGAACAATCCAGGAGATGCGAGAGCAAAGACAAGGGCAGCTAGAGGTCACCTCCTCCAGGTGGCCTCTCCTGACTCCACCAGGAAGAAGTGACCCGCTTCGTGCCCAGGTCCACCGTAGGTGTCTGTCGCAGCGTGGGCGGGGGGCGAGGATGACGGCATCTGTCTCTAAGGGTCTTCGTTCACCAGACTGGGTCCCCCTGAGGTCAGACACCGCCAGATGGACCCATGCATCTCCCATCTGCAGCGTAGCGCCTGCCACACACGAGGTCCCCAGGCGTGAGGTTCAAAGGACTAGCAAAGGACTAGCATGACCGGAATAGAGTCATTTCAGGAGGAGAGGCCGGGCGAGGGGGACGACAGCTGGGGGAGTGTGCCTCGCTCACCGCACACCCCCCATGTCCTTTACATCTCCTGCAACTGCCACCCTCGGCGTTCCCTGTGGGTGCAGGTGTTCTGATCACAAGGGGCATTACAAGTAAGTGCGTCCAATCGTACAACAGAAGAAGGAGGGGGGATGGGGAAGTCGACTCAGGTCCCGGGCCCGGGTGTCCCCGAGGGACCGACCGGGGTTGGTGAGCCCACCAGGGAGAGGAGGGGGTGGTGCCGAGGCCGGCCTACAGCCGCCAGATTCAGCAAGTAGAAATGCAAGGCGCCCACTTAAATTCGCATTTCAAATACAGACGACATATCGTTTTAGTAGGAGCATGTCCCATGCCATATTTGGGACATGCTTATACTGAAAAAACGATTCGTTGTTTATCTGAAAGTCAGGTGTAGTGGGCGTCCTGCGTTTTATCTGGCAAGACCAGCCCCGCACGCCCTACTCCCAAACCTACCCTCACCTTCACTCACCTGCCGCTCCAGGGGCCCCTGGAGGAAGGGCTCGCTGTGGACTTTCACTTCTGCTTCTGCAACGACCCACCCCCGCCTGGGGCCCAGGCCGAGAGCCGCCCCCTTCCACCCTCCCACAGCTGGGCCCCCCAGGCTGGACCCTGTGCCTTCCACTCCCTCCCCGCAGGAGACTCTGGAAGGCCCAGGTCGGGGAGCCCAAGGCCAGGCAAGGCCCAGGAGAGCGGCCAAGTGGGCCAAGTGGAGGTGGGGGGCGGGCAGGAAGGGAGATTCCCGTGGGCCTCAGAGCAGATCTTTCACGCCTCAGTCTCTCGGGCTCAGCTTCCGCCCGCCCGCCCTCCCCTGGCTTCCCCTTCTGCCCCTGCCAGGGCCAGACACAGCGTCCGTCGGAGGAATGAGCCCGTCTCATCCCCCCCGTGCAGATATGCTCTCGCTGATCCTCTTCGCCATACTGGGGGGCGGTGAGTGGGCCGAGGGCCGGAGGGGCCGGGGCCGGGGCTGGGGCTGGGGCTGGGGTGGCAGCTCGCCTGTGTTCTCTCGCAGGGTCGCGGGCCGACTACCGGAGATTCTCAGTGAGGGTGCAGAGGACGGTGACGGTGCAGGAGGGCCTGTGTGTGCTCGTGTCCTGCACCGTCTCCTACCCTCGCCAGCAGTGGACCGACGATACCCCAGCTTACGGCTACTGGTTCGAATACCAGCCCATCATGACCACTGATCTTCCAGTGGCCACAAACAACCAGTCTCAGAATGTGCGAACAGATGCCCGGGGCCGATTCGAGCTTGTGGGCAGTCCCCAAAACGGGACCTGTTCCTTGCTAATCAGGGACGCACAGATGAGTGACAGGGCAACCTATTTCTTTCGGATCGAGAGAGGCACTTTCGTGCGATATAATTTCAAGGAAGACGTGTTCTCTCTGAATGTGATAGGTATGGAACTGGCTTGACTTGGAATGGGGTGGGATCTCCTCTCCTGCCTGCTACCCCTCCCTGCAGGAAATAGATCTCGGGGGACACCTCCTGCAGTACCCCGTCTGGGGACCAGGACTGTACCCTCTCTTGTCCAGCCCTGACACGGAAGCCAGATGTCTACGTCCCAGAGACCCTGGAGCCTGGGCAGCAGGTGAAAGCCATCTGTGTGTTCGACTCGGACTTTGAGCGATGTCCAGCTCCCACTTTCTCCTGGATGGGGGCTGCCCTCTCCTCCCAAGAGACGAGACTGACGACCTCCCACGTCTCTGTGCTCACCCTCACGCCGAGACCCCAGGACCATGGCACTGACCTCACCTGCCGAGTGGACTTCTCCAGACAGGGTGTGAGCGCCAAAAACACTGTCCAGCTCAACGTGGCCTGTGAGTTTGGTGGGGGACTTCAGGGTGAGCGACAGCCCCCGTTGGGTGGGGTTCGGGAGATGGGGCTGGCGGTGGGCAGCTCTCGGGGGTCCACAGACAGGAAGGGGCACAGTCTCATGATGGGAGGGGAAGTGAACGCCGCTTGGTCCTTTCCCCACAAGCGTGTCTTTGTCCCTTGTCTTTCCCGAGGAGAGTCACACTTTCTGTTCCCCAAGGGGGTTCTCTCTGGCTGTGGGGAGCCAAAAGTTCCTCCGCAATGCCAGCGTGCCATCTCGTTGCAGATGCCCCCCAAGGCCTGAATATCAGCATTTCCAAAGCCAAGGGATCAGGTACCAGGGGCCTATGGGGTGGCCAGGGCCGGCCAGGGGATGAGGAGGAGGAAAACGTGTCAGAGGTGGGGGAATGGCGTTCAGCTCTGCAGCTCTTCGCCTGTCTCTCTCCCCTCCTGTCTCTGCAGCCCTGGAGCCGCAGGGAGACGGGCCACGTCTGGAAGCCCAGAAGGGCCAGTTCCTGCGGATGCTCTGTGCTGCGGACAGCAGACCCCCCGCCACCCTGAGCTGGGCCCTGGAGGACAGAGTTGTCTCTTGGTCCCGGCCCTCGGGCTCTGGAGGCCTGGAGCTGGTGCTGCCGGAGGTGACGCCTGGGGACGCGGGGCGCTACACCTGCCGAGCGGAGAACAGGCTCGGCTTCCTAAACCGCACCCTGAACCTCTCCGTGCAGTGTGAGTGTGACCCGCAGGGCCCAGGGGCCAGGAGGGGAGAGGGTGAGGGGGCTGGGGAGGCAGGCGGGGTCCCAGAGCTCAAAGGGACCCGGAGCCTCCGGTCCGTCGCACTGATGATTCTGGTTCCGATTCTTACGTAGGTATTTTTCTTCCTGTCACCAACCGATTGTCTGACACCAGCCGGGTGTCTTGCAATGGATCCTGACACTATCTTCCCAGCGATAGCATCAGACCCCTCAGGTTCAAAGCTCACTCTCACAAGGCTGCTCCCCCGCAGACACCAATAGCAAATCCAGGTTGTCCCCTGTGCTTCGGACCACAGGTCGGAGGCCGGCGGGGAGACTTCCTCAGGCCCTTCTCCCGGCTTGACCAGTCTGCCACACAGGGCAGAACTCAGGGAAACACGGTGCTTACCGGACCACCGGTGTGTTAGGAAAGGGTATATATACCTCAGCAGCCGATGGAGGAGATGCACGGGGCCAGGTGCGGGGCAGGGCGTGGGGCGTCCGCACCCTCTCCCTGGATCTCTGACCCAGAAGCTCTCCGGACCCCGTCCTTTGGGGTTTGATGGAGGCTTCGTCACATCGGCGTGATCGATGAAATCTTTGACCCCTGGTGATGGAACTTGGCCTCCAGCTCCTTCCCCTGGTGATGGAACTTGGCCTCCAGCTCCTTCTCCCTCGGGAGTCCCAACCCTCCACTCACATGGGGCTCCCCTAGAAGCCGGCCCCCATCCTTAGGCGCTTCCCAAAAGTCACCTCGATGGCATCAACTGAGGCGGGGTGCAAAGGGGTTCGTTGTGAACAGCAAGACACCTTCGTCGCCCTCATCCCGTAGAAATCCCAGGGTTTCCGGAGCTTGGTGCCAGGAACTGGGGACTGTGGCCAAATTCGTCTTTCTTACCAAAAACCACCGTAACACAGGGACCTGCCCTTCTCACTCATCTGTTCCCTCGGGTGGTTTGTGTCACCCGGTGGTGAATCACCTCAGCGGGTGACTCGGTCCTCCTCCCCCGCCTGCCGCTGTCATTCGTCTCCGGGGACCCTTTGCCCAGCACGCAGCCCGCGTCCGACTGGTACCCCGTCTCTGTTGCAGATGCCCCAGAGCACCTGAGGGTGGTGGTCTCCCAAGCAAACAGGACAGGTAGGTAAGGGAGACGGAGGAGCCGGGGTGCCTCGGTGCCGCCCGGGGGCCCCGGGCCTCAGGAACGTGGGCTTGTACGAGGGTCACCTGTCCTGCCTCTTCCATCCCACAGTCACAGAAAACCTCGGGAACGGCACGCCCCTCCCAGTCCTGGAGGGCCAAAACCTGCATCTGCTCTGTGTCGCCCACAGCAACCCCCCCGCCTCGCTGAGCTGGGCCCGGGGGGGACAGACTCTGCAACCCTCCCAGCCCTCAGACCTGGGGGTCCTGGAGCTGCCTCAGATACAGAGGGAGCACGAAGGAGAATTCACCTGCCATGCTCAGAACCCGCTGGGCTCCCAGCATGTCTCCCTGAGCCTCTCGGTGGTCTGTGAGTCGGGGCTGGGGGTCCCTGGGGGCAGGAGAGCTGGTCCGTGAGTGAGGAGAGGGGCAAGCGCCAGAGAGAGGCCCCCTGGGGGGGGGGGAGGGGGGCCGCTGACCCGTCTCCCCACCCCCACAGACCCCCCACAGCTGCTGGGACCCTCCTGCTCCTGGGAGGACGCGAGGCTGCACTGCAGCTGCTCCTCCCATGCCCGGCCGGCCCCCTCCCTGCGCTGGAGGCTGGGGGAGCAGCTGCTGGAGGGGAACCTCAGCAACGCCTCCCTCACCGTCACCTCCAGCTCAGTGGGGCCCTGGGCCAACAGCTCCCTGAGCCTCAGAGGGCAGCTCTGCTCTGACCTCAGACTCAGCTGCGAGGCCCAGAATGTCCTCGGGGCCCCGAGCGCCACTGTCCTGCTGCTGCCAGGTCTGGGGGCCTGTCCGGTGTCCCCTGGAGGTGGGGCTGAGTGGGCCGGGGGCAGGGTCCTGTGGTTGAAGCAGGAGCTGGGGAGGGGGACATGGTGCTTGTGGCCGAGAGTGCAGAGGGGACACCACGAAGCGGAAGGCTCGGCATCCGGGCCTGGGGCGCGGCAGGGTTTAAAGACATAGACAGGAAGGGGTTGCAGGCGAGGGGTCTGAGAGGTGGCCGGTGGGCGGGAGGACTCACGCCGATGGGAGACACTCGGAGACGTCCGACCTTTCCTTGCGCAGATCAGAAGGCGGCCTTCACAGGGGCGTTTTCTAACGGAGCCATCCTGGGCGCTGGCGTCTCTGCCCTTTGCTTCTGCCTCTGCCTCATCGTGGTCATGTGAGTTAGATTTAGGAGCAGGAGACGTGAGTGTGAGGTCTGGGGACAGGGGAGATGCCGGGGCGCACACCGAGCTGGGTCGTTTCCGCAGCACGAAGACTCTGAGGAAGAAGCAGAGCCAAGTGGAGACTGGGACCCAGGCGGAGACTCAGAGGCCCAGGCCCACGAGGAGGAGCACGATCCTGGATTACGTCAACGTGGTGCCCGGCACCCGACACCTGGTGAGTGGCCCATCCACTCCCGCCCCCCCGCCCCCACGCTTTGCCTGAGGGGCCAGACGGAGAAGGCCCGGCGTTGGATTCAAGTCGTGACGCTGGCACCGACGGTGTGTGGGACCTGAGCCAAGCCACTCGTCCCCCGTCCCTCGTTCCTTCCTCTGTTTCCTTTGAGAGCCGCCTGAGGAGCAGGGCAGCGTCCTTGCTCAGGACGTAGCAGCGACACCATCGTCACCACCGCCAAGGACGTTATTCATTACAATTCATGATGTAGCAGTTATCGGTGTCACGGAGTCACGGAGCGGCAGTACGTCCTGGTGGTTGAGAGCGGGGCCGCCTGGGTTCAATCCTGCTTTCGCCGCTCTGCGTTCTTGGGCGGGTCCCTTCACTTATCTGTGCCTCGACGGCTTGAACTGTAAAATGAGGAAAATTGCACCTATCGCCAAGGACCATCCCAGGTATTCGATAGGCTCCGATCGTACCTGTCCAACGTTTAGAATATGACCTGGCACCTTGCGAGTGTCGGGAAATGCTGGATATTGTCCAGGCGAGACCATCTATGCCCCGACGCCTCCAAAATTCACGTCTGTTTCCCAGACCCGCCCATGAACTTCAGACTCATACCCGGCTGTGGAGGCCGCGCCTCCTTGTGGATGTCTAACAAGCGTCTCAAACGCAGCCTGCCCCAAGGCAAACATCCAAGTGACACACCGCTTCTGCGTCTCCTCTGCTCTGCCCATCTCAGCGAGTGGCACCCCGTTTGCCCAGCTGCTCAAGCCTGAAGCTTCGGAGTCATCTTCCGTGCCTCTCTTCTCCGACACCCCACAATCAACGTCAGGAAGTGCCCTTCAAAATCCATCCCACTGCTCTTTCCCCCCCGCCTCC